ATGTTAGAAACAATCGCAAGAAAGAAAAAAAACATTTGAATCCTTATCTTTGGGTTCATTTTGCCTAACATCAACTCATCTGACCATTTCTGCTTGTGCCTTGACATTTTCATATGAACTTTCCTAATTGTTAGACACTGGTGTTTAGTATGACTTGAAATCTTGTGGTTACAATTTATACATTCTACTCTGCCACACAATGTTCTACCTCACAGTAGACTTAAAACAATGGAGCCAGCTAGCTATTCATGGACTGAAACCTCTAAAATCATGTGCCAAAATAGAATTTTTATCTTGTATGTACGTTTTCTCAAATATTTTGTTACTACAACAAAACACTGACAAACATAGCATATATATGTGTGTGTATATATATATATATATATATATATTATATAGCCTAAAAAACAAACTTAGACTCATATTTTACATGCTGCTTGTATCTTGCTTTTCCCATGTAGCAAGATGTCTTGGAAATTATTGCATTGCTGCTGCAGTTGTCTCACTAATATGAGATTGGATGGAAATTCATGCAAGAGGAAATGTGTGGTAAGCATTTTTAACAGACAGGTCTTTGAATTCTATTTCCCCTTCTGCCCTGCTAGTGACCTCTTCTTACCTCCTCCAGCTTTGGTTGTCTTAAGATGGATTTGAGAACAGGTTGGTCCTTGGGTGGCCAGGATGGGACAGCGTCCACTACCAAATAGGAATGGATGAGCCTTGACCACTTTACTCAAGAGGTTTGTGGGACCTCGGGCAAGCACTGGGCAGCACTGTAGCAACACAGCTGCTGCCACCATCTTGATCCCGAAGTCCTGCAGAAAATATAGAAGAGATGAGATTCCATTATGACAGCTTGGCCACAAGCCAGGGATCACTCCTATGTTTGATTCTTTGACTTTAGCTTTCCATCCAAAGCTTAGTGCTTTCCTCAGAGACAGGGAAAGGATTTCTAATATTATCAGAACAGTAAGAAAGCCTGGACTCAGATTCAGATTCTGCCACTCTGTGATTATGGGGATCATTGAAATGTATTTGTGTGTGGCAGGATGAGAGTTGATACAACCAGCTTTAATGAATACTTGAAGCAAGGAACCTTTTTAAGAATATCATTCTTAGCCAAGTGAAGACTGATACAGATCCTTAGACTTGTCCTAGAGCATTTCCTAAGAAAGCTCTGCCAGAGACGGAGTAGAAGCTCAAAACCAGTTTTCAGCTTAAAGAGATCCAGGGAGCAATAAGAAAGGAGGTCCTAGGGCATTCAGACTATGTACTACCAGGCTGATACTGTCCTATTTTGGGATTTTCTCTTGACATTTGGATAAACTCAGATAAAGGAGGAGATGAAAGAAAGACTCAAAGAGTCTGGAAGACGAGGAACAAAGATATTGCCTATGGGTCAGAAGAAAAGGCAGAGACCAAGACAAGAAAGAAAGGTGCCAGAGAGAATATCAGGAAAAGAGAAACCAAATGAAACATAGCACTCAATGGATATTTATTGAATTTTGGAGCGAATGAATGAATGAGCATGATCGCAAATAGGGGAAGATAAGAGAATTATGGGAAGAACCAAAATTGAAGATTAGGAAAGATCCAAGAGGGAAAACAGAGAAAGAAAACAAAGGCATGGTCTCAGTAGAATTAAATTAGAAGAGCAGAAATTGTGGGTAAGAAAGAGAAGGAAAAGGGAAAGGTAGAAATGAGAGGAGACATGAGGAAGAAGGCAGAAAGACAAAACAAGATAGTAATGGGGAATTCAGAAGAATAGAGAAAAAGTAAGATAAGAGAAAGAGAAAATGAGAGAGGGGGAGAATGAATGAATGAAGGAATAAAAATACAAAGAGGATCACAAAAGGAACATGACGAATGATCCAGTAATTTAGAGGAATATACAAAGACTCATAAAACTGAACAGGAGAGAAAATAATCCAAAGGGAACAGAGTCAGTAAGACTCAAAGGTAAAGGAGAAATTCTGGGGAGGCTTGAGCAATAAAAGAGGTAGGGGGATAGGAGTTATGACACAAATAAAGAAGATGAGAGAGCAGTTGAGTGTTCAAAAGAGGTGGGCAGAGTAAAAACAAAAGATTAATGATAGAAATGGAGGCACTAAAGGGGGAGGAGGAGGAAAAACTGAGATATACCAAGGGAAAGACAGCTAGAATAAGCAAGAAGGGAAAACAAATTGAAAGAAAAATGGCAAATTATGAAGCCAGAGTCAAAGGGTCAGACAAGATAAGGAGAGATAGAAGAATGTGGGAAGACTAAGACTCTAACACTGCCAAGAAAGCTACTGCATAGAAGTGAACAGCATCCTCAGTGTATAAGCCATCTGCTGTGAGAAACTGATGAGAAAGAGGAGCTCATGACCCCATTCTCAGTTGGCATTCTCTCACCTCCCTTCCTCCTTCCCTGATTTCAAAGAGAAAGAGCCTTCTTATTACACAAAGCATCCTCTTATTCTGTATTTCTGTTACTCTCACAGGCTGTCATAGCAGCCTGGGTTACTTTGTAGGGCCTGGAGATATGGCCCCTGAAATTAGGAAAGGCAAAAGATTCCTGAAACAACTAAACATAGTAAGTTTTCAATAAGTATTAGCTTTTCTTATTTAAATTCCAGCCCCCTATTTCCTTTGTGTAATTTTTTTTGACAAGTCACTCCCTTTGTTTGGATCTTTCATCAGCTGTCAAATGTGAGGTAATTTTGTCTACCTCACATAGTTGGTCTTGCATTTGATCCAATGCCTACTTCATATTTGTAGATAAGAATTTCCCTTCCTTTGCCTGCCCAGTAAGGCTAAAGCCCCTAGGCCTGAGCCTGCAGAGCACAGATAAAGCTCCCCGAGTTTATCACTATTGGGGTCTGAACACTCCCCAAGATGAGTCCAGGGTGTGGGAGAGAAGAGGAGCCTCTTCCTGGAATCACGTCTGAGCATCTGGCTGAGGCTGGCTCTGGCTATTGAAGCTGAGCTAAGATGGATGGCCAAAGAGTCCCCCAGAATCAACACAGCAATAGCAACATTGAACTATGTAGTGAGAGGGGAAGCCCCCAAGATTGGAAGCAAAATCTAGTTCTGCCTTAGAATGATGGTAGAATAAGGCCTATCCTCTCTATATAAAACTGAAGAAGTTTAGTATACTCATCCTCTCTAATGAGGTTTTTTTTTTGAGGGCGGGGTGACAGTCCAGGGGCTTGAATTCAGAGCCTAGGTACTACTATCCTTGAGCTTTTTTTAGCTTAAGCCACAGATCTACTTATAATATTTTGGAGGGTAGTTACTGGGAGACAAGCCCAGGCTGGCTTTGAACCATGATTCTCAGATCTTAGCTTCCTAAGTAGCTAGGATTACAGATGTAAGCCACCAGTGCCTGACCTCTAATAAACTTTTGACCATGATGTGCTCAGGGTCCTGGGGATATATAGACTATGTGAAATTCATTGTATTCTCAAGTTTATTTAAGCTCTGCTTCCAATTTTACTTCTTCGTGTACTCTTTCCCTGGAATCTACTCTTCTTTCACTCTGTCTGGACGTCATTATGATTCATAATTTTGTAAGCTAGGTACATTAGGCACTAGGTCCATTCCATGCCACTTCCTACCATGAGACTATAGAGAATAAAATTGAATTAGGAAGGCAATTTTGGTGATTTAAGGTATTAAGAGCACAGATTCTGGAGTAAAGCTACTTGAGTTTGAATCCTGGATTCACCATTCACTAGCTCTGGGATCTTAAGAGATTGACTTTCCTGCTATATATCTTCTAACTATAAAATTTAGATATTATAGACCAGTTGCTTCACAGTGTGTTGTAAAGACTCAGTAAAATAATCTATATGAAGTAGTAAGAAGACTACCTATTCCCAAATATATACTAAAAAAGTGTTAATAATTATTTTCTCTAATTTTCTATGTAGGAAAAATGAAGGTACAGCTAAAGAAAATCACATCATGAATATGACAAACAAAGCCTGGAAAGCTAGTGACTTGATTCTTGTCTCAGTCCCGTGATAACTTACTGTGTGTATTTGGGATCTGTATTTATCCCTTCTCCACAAATATTACACTAGGTAATTTCATAGATCTCACTTGATCCTGATATTCAGATACACATTCAGTGACTTATTCAGTCTTCATGAAGACCCTCTAGTTAGAAAACGAAGACCCTAAGGGACTTTGGTAAATCTCTAGGCCACAGAGCCTAGTAAATGAAAGGAGCAGGATTTTAACTGAGGCAGACTGTGCCGAAAGAGCACTATATATTAATTACTATGGTCCATGATTCAAATATTATTACATATTTTTGTAACTGGGGGCCTAACTCTAGATGCTCTACTCTGCCCACTAACACAGATCCCCTTCTAGAACAATGCCTTTGCCAAAAGAGCCAAGATCCAACTAAAGTAAGATTTTAGGCACTAGTAAAGATTTATTCAGAGCTGGGTGCTGTTGGCTCATGCCTATAATCCTGGCTACTCAGGAGGCTGAGATCTGAGGATCACAATTCAAAGCCACCCCAGGCAGAAAAGTCTATGAGACTTATCTCCAATAAACTGCTCAGAAAAAGCTGGAAATGGCACTGTGGCTCAACTGGTAGAGCACTAGCCTTATGCAAAAGCAGCTAAAGGACAGTGCCCAGGCCCTGAGTTAAAGCCTCAGGACCTGCACACACAAAAATGATTTATTCAGTCCTCTGTTCCACCACTCAAGCATTTGTACATTTTACTATGTGTACAAATGCTTTTTAGGGTTCTACTTAAAACAATGCTTTCAATCACAGAAAATAGTGAAATTTCAAGCCAAGTTATGGATCAAAGGGTTTCCCTGTATCCTTACAATTCCTTTTCATGCCAGGCACCCAATCAGCAATCCCAAATGTCATAAGGGCCAACCACAGCTTAACCCAAGCAGAGAAACCAGAAACCATCCATTACAGCATTCTTTGATCCCGTCCCTTTATTTTGTGCTCTGATTTGCAAGCATCAATTAGGTCTGGAAAGTAATCAGTTACTTCTCTTCAGGAGTTGGAGGCATCAGGCTTTACCTCCCTTCTTAGTACACTGATCCAACCACTGAAGATAATATTTTAAATACCTGGAATAAGAGAATCAGAAACGCTCACCTATCTTACCAATTATCAATTCCCCTAAATCTTTCCTTACCGAATTGTTCATTTCTATCCCTTTCATTTCCCTTTATATTTTCCTTCTTAAATCTAGTCCCCTAAACTATGACTTGTCAACTTATGCCCTTGGTCAAGTAGAGAGAAGGGAATTAATAGAAGAAGGAATGGAGAATTGTTGGAAGAAATATTAAGACATTCTTCTCTATAAAAAAAAAACAAAACAAAATAGTAAGCTGGGTTCCAGTGGCTCACACCTATAATCCTAGCTACTCAGGAGGCTGTGGCTGTTCAAAATCAGCACAGGCAGCCAAGTCTCCATGACACTCTTACCTCCAATTAACCACCAGAAAACCAGAAGTGGAGCTGTGGCTCCAAATGGTAGAGTGCTAGCCTTGAGGAAAAAGATCTCAGGAATAGCACTTGGGCCCTAAGTTCAAGCCTCATGACCAACAGAAAAAGAAAAAAAAAGAAATAGTAGGACAGGAAGAAATAGAAAGAAACAGAGAGACAGAGACAGAGATACAGAGTTAAGAATAAGAGACAGAAAAAGGAAAAGATGTTAAGAGAACTTAGTGGAAGGAAAAATAAGAGAAAGCAAGTATTGGAGAGTAGGCGAAATAATGTCAGAAACTACTAACAGAGAGAAATGGGAAAAGAAGCAAAAACCCATTAACAGGGAAAGATAGGAAGAGACAGACAAAAAGAAAGTGACAGACTTTTTAAGAAACAGAATGTCAGATTTAGTCAGACAATAGTGTATGTAGCACTGAGGTGGACAGGTATACTCAGAGAGAAGGTGCCAGGCTAGAAACAGCTCTTACCTGTTGCCCTGCACTGAGGACGAACGGAAGACGGGTGAGTGCAGTGAGTTAGGACTTGGTGTTTATCCCTGGCTTTGGCTGAGCTCCACCCACCCCGCCTTCTTCTAGCCTGGCTTTCATTGGTCTCAAAAGTATCTCAGGGCCCTGTTAGAGATAAAAACAAAGTAATTCCCCCCACTCTGGATTTTACCCTCCCCCAGCTCTCGCTGTTGCCTCTCTGCATTCTCTTCTAAGGTAGTGAGATGAGCTCAGACTATCCATATAGAATCAGGGAAGGCATCTTGAGTAAAATTATCTTTCTGACCTTCCATTTCTTCAACCACAAAAGTAATGCAATCAACCCCAGAATAAATGTAGCACAAGTTGAAAAGGCTCTGGAGATAGTCCTGGAATCAAGTTTTGTGCTTATGAGCTGTAACAACTTCCACAGAATACATCCTAAGATTATATAACAATTCAATAACATCATGTATAGAAAACAGCACAGTTCCTGTCCAGAGAAATAACAGTGAATGTTAATGGAATGCTTACTGTGTAGCAAACTCTTTGTTAATTGCTTTACATGGATTAATTTAGCCCCCATAATGACATTAAGGCATAAATATTATTATCCATGAAGAAACTGAGACTCAGAAAGGTGAAGCATCTTACTGATAATTAGCTAACTAGAAATTACATGGCCTCAACCTGGGAAGTCTGCCATCAGGATCTACACTCTTCTTTTCCTTTCAGAATATATAATTAAAGAATATATAATTGAAGTTCTCTGTCTTCTCTTTTCTAATTCTTGCCCTCATAAAAAGAATAATGAAAGGTGTAACATTGATCATGATACATTGTACTCATAAACTGACATATTGATTTGAAATCCATTTGTACATTACTTAAAGCTATTTAAAAATGAAAAAAAACATGAAAGAAAGAAAAATTGTGAATAAATTTTCACTCTCAGTTCTCATTCTCTGTTTCTTTTTAAGCCTATGGCAATGGAACTGTTATAACCAGACAATTTCATCTCAAAAGCCGATTGTCATCGTTAATATTATAACTACATAAACAAGATCATAGCCTGCATATTATCTACAGTTTCCTTTTCCAGTTTGGCCATATGCCAATATACCCCAGAAGTCTTTCCATGTATATTCACTGTTGGTGGAATTACATTATGGAGGTCTGGATGCACTATAATTTATTTAAACACTTCCTTGTGGAAAATTTAGGTTATTCCCAGGGATTTCCCTCCTCTATTATAGATAATGCTGCAATTAGTAGCTTTGGGCATGCACAAATGGTTTTTTCCCTGTCGGTTGTGGGGCTTGAACTCAGGGCCTTTGCACTCTCTTTGAGCTCTTTTTGCTCAAGGCTAGGCTAGTGCTCTACCACTTTGAGCCACAAATCCACTTCTGGTCTTCTGGTGGTGGTTAATTACAGATAAGAATCTCACAGACTTTTCTGCCCAGACTAGCTTTGAACCATGATCCTAAGATCTCAGCCTCCTTAGTAGCTAGGATTACAGATGTGAGCTACCAGTGCCTGGCTCAGCACAAGAGTATTGTTATATGGTATCATCCTACAAAGAAAGAAGCATTCCTGGGTCAAAAAATAAAAATATGCCTTTTATATATGTTATACATCTCTAATAATTATGTATTCTGTTTTTGTATTTTCTCACACTTACCAATACCATTTGTTACCAGTTTAACTGTTTTAAGCACAAAAAGTGACATTGTGATTTATATTTAATTTTTAATAAGATTGGCTTTTTTCATGTTTCTTGTTGTCTTTTGACCACCTGATCTTCTTTTTTGTCCATTTTTAGTTCAATTTTGTCCATTTTAGATTGACAGTAAACTGTAGTGGGTAGAAAGTATATGTTGTGGAGTCAGCTTTGCCCATGTTATTTTACTTATTAGCTATGTGGTTCCCTAAGTGTCAGTTTCTCATCTGTAAACGAAATTGTCATAGAACCTATCCTATAGGATTGTTATTAAGATATCTAGATTATTTTTTGTAGGTTTTTTTACATTGTAAATGACTTTTAAATTGTATGGCCATTAACCCCCTTTCAGTGTATCCATTGCTCCATCTGGATTTATTCATTAATTCAACAAATATTGATTGTTCACAGGTACTGGTGATGCAGCTGCATCAAATTTAACGACTTGGGTATATCATGATGTATTTAACCATTTTCTAAACTTGAAGATCATCTCCAGATCTTCTAGAAGGTATTTCAAATAGAGTTTCAGTAACCCTCAAGCTCCAGTTCTTTATTAGGCCAGCCATTTTCTGCATTGGCTATTGGCTATTGAATGGGAAGCCCTCTCTAACCCTCACACTGAATCTGGTCCCCTCTCCTGTACTCCCACACATCACTCTATACTATCAATACCCTGTTTTATGTCTTCCTATCAGTTTTTGAGCAGTTGGAGAATAGAGATCCAAAATCATTGGCAAGTCAAACTATCAGAAATGGATGGATGCTGTATTCAAATTGCATTTTCTCAGATCCTTCCACTCCATTCTGCCTATACACAGGAAAGCGACAAACCTCTAAGATGACTCAAAGAAGACTGTATAATGCCCAAATGGAGGCATTAGGAAGGATGCTTGAGCCTCTCTATACTATTCTTGTTTCATATGAGCATCAACATTCCTCAGCATGACTTTAACTCTCACCTCTCCTTCCCTCCCTCCCTCCCTTCCCTCTGTGATGGTAGTCATTTGGTTCTCATCTCCTTGAGAGACAGTGCTCTCTGGAGAATGAGTTTCAGTCTCAGATCCTCATGAGGCTTATTTTGGGTGCAGGTCCTGGGGCTTCAACTGGTATCTGGGGCTGTCTCTGAGCTTCACTTGAGCCACAGTGCCATTTTCAGTTTTCTTTTAGTAGTTTATTGGTGATAAAGTCTCATGGACTTTCCTTCCCAGGCTGGCTTTGAACCTTGATCCTCAGATTTCAGATTCCTGAGTATCTAGGATTACTGGTATGAGACACCAGTGCCCAGCTTTTTCTGACGGAGTACATCTCTGAATCTCTGTTCCAGCCTTCCCTCTCACCCTGAATTGATTTGTTCTGTGTCTTGGCGACTTCCTTCCTGCCTACAAATTCCTCTGAGATTAGTGGGCAAGTTTGACTCATTTCTACATCTCCAGTGTCAACCTGGCAATAGACTTTAGTGATTTAAGGTTTTTCAACTTTTCACTGTGAAATTGCACTACAGTGACTATTACAGTCATTTTGTCTGCATCTTAGATTTTTTAGCATTAATTTCATAAAAGCACACCTTATAAACCATAAAATCTACAGTTTTAGGTTCAAAATCCAGTGTGTATTAGTATATTTATAGAATTGTTCAGTCATTACTCAGTCCAGGGACAATGAGCCTCCAAACCAACAGCTAAAATGTTCTCTTAAGAGACACTAGGTCCTTAGAGAGTAAAATCTTTTCCCTTTAAATTTCATTTTCCCTAAATGGTTACTGTATAAAAACTGCCTTTGTAGCATATTTAAAAAGCAAAATAAGTTCTTAGAGAGTGGAGAACAGTACTCTGGAATTAAATTTAAAAACTTAGGCAGTGGAGTGCTTCAGGTTGGACAAGAAAAACATGTAAAGTTCAAATTGTAGATTTAAAAGCATAAATTTGTGCCATGACAGTGTTCACAGATGAAGGAAAATCAAAATATTCTTACTCCAACAGAAAGGACAAAGGAGATAATCCTGACTATTGGATCTCAAAACCACTGACCTAAGAAAACACTTTTGAGTTTAAACCTTAACTGATCAACCTGGGATCTGTGGCAACTCTTTTTGTAAAGGTGATGTACAGAGGGGTTACGCTGACATAAGTCAGGTAAGGAGTACCTTTATTTTTGAACAGTGTCACCCCCTCCCTCATTTTCTCCCAGTTTTTTTTTCCTTCCTGCCTCCCTCCCACCCCCAAGTTGTATATGGTTCATTTCCAACATAGTTCGCTGCTGAATTGGTTCACCCTTTGTTCCCTTTTTCTGTTTCCCCTTCCCCTCTGCAAATCAGATAGACAAAGGGTAGAAAGAAAGGTCATCTTGTGAGGCCATTTTACCTCCCCAGGTCTGAATTCAACATGAAGGCATGTGACTTCACCCAAGAATCATCCTGGGGAGGAGAGAGAGAGATGAGGGGGAAACACAGGACAGTTTATCTAAAAGCACCCATGAAACCTTCATCTGCATGGAAAAAAATTCTCAAGACAGGCCTTTGTGGGATATTTTAGCCCCACCCAGAGTCTCATATTATATGGTTTAGGATCTCAGGAGACGCTCTGAAAAACGATACTGCACACATGGAAACTTGCCTTCCTAGTTTTTTATTTTTGTCACCCACTCCTTTCCCCGGGAAACCCCATCGTTTTCCATGACCAAAGGTAACGAGTCAGTAAGGAAGGTGTGGGTTTCTTGCCTGGATGCCTGGCCAAACCTCTTTTGCATATTTCTTCTTTGTTGGTTCATTTTCTGCTTCAGCATGATGGACTGCAGGAGTTGATGTGGGGTTCATATTCACTATCGAAGGTAGGACAGGATTCAGGTACGCTTCTGGGACAAGGTTCGAATAGGGCACGGGCAAGTTGCCGCTGAACGGTGCTCCCTGGATACCATGTGGCTGGGCACTTGCTTCACTCTGTGGGGGAGGCAGGCCCCCATAGAGTCCTCCGCCGAAGGTAAACGTGGGTCTTCCAAACTCTTTCAGGTTTAGAGAGCCGTGAGCTTCCATGCGCCTCTTCTTCACTGGGACCATCACCGTTCGCCCTCTGTTCTGGAAGCAACCAAGAGAGGGATCCACATCCTCTGGATTGATTATTTCATCTTCTTCATTGAAAGTTACCCGTGAGTTCTTCCTTTTCCTCTTTGGTGTCCGAATGGTTAGCTGTCCCTCCTCACTGGCGAAGATTGGAATCCGTTTGTTGTGGGTAGTATTGAACTTCGTCAGATTATCAAGTTCCCTTTCCTCATCTCGAAGCCCCAGAAACCCCTTGAGTTCATGATCTTCTCCAT